CTTCAATGATTCCATTTAACTAGTAAGACGGCAACTTCACCCATTTTGGCCCATGACGCCCGGGGCGAACCCTGGGGCCGCAGGTACCTGTTAGGAATAATCCTGCCAAGTTACAGCATGTTTGGAGCACTCTAGCTCCTCCCATAGTCTTCCGATCAATATGCAAGCAAGTGCCCGTCGATCGTCATTACCTAACAAACAATCCTAACATTACACGGAATCTTGCGGGGAACGTTTCCGACGGAAGGTAGGGTAATAGTGTCCCAAAGGTAGGGTAAGTGTGTCCATGGTGACACGAAACAGGTCTCCATGGTAGGGTAAAGTGACTTTCTTAGAGAGGGTAAACTTACCCGGCCTTCCGACCTATCCTTAGGTCGGAGCGGTTATAGTCACTTTCTTCCCTCTACCTAGGCACGCTATTCCTTAAGTACCATCTGTTCTGTAGGATACCCGGACCATCGGATCTCCCTTGGACAATTTAATGTCCTCCTATTCTACCATTCGACCTCTTGGTCTTACGTATGGGTGTAGTCATACGTTGCCATAGCTCTTTTTCATAGCGCCGTTACATCACTCCCCTCTTCTCTCAGGACCGTCCCGGTCCGCTAACGTCGTCTTTTATTTCCCGGTTCGGCTCTCCCTCAACCCTATGGTCTCTGGGTTTATGGGGGTACCAATGGTGGAAATCTTTCATGGCTTTTAACCCAGTGCCCTCTAGCATTTCATACGGCTCCCAAGAGTTCTCCTCTGCGCCATAGCCTTCCTATGAAACCAAGTATTGTACAAAGCGATTCGGAAACTTGGCTTTCATCTTACCATACCAGCGACTGTCTACAACTGCCTCAATAACGTAGCGGGGCTCATTATCCACTATCTCGGGAACCGGGACTTACTTAGCCCTTTTACCACTTGGGTCCTGGTGATAGGGTTCTAAGAGTCTGACATTGAATACGGGATGGATTGACCACCGGGCAGGCAACTGGAGTTCATAAGCTCGGTTACCAACCTTATCCTTGACCACAAAGGGCCCAAACATTGGGTGGTCCAACTTCTCCATAGGTCGCTTAGTGCGGATGTTCTTTCGATTGAGCATCACACGGTCAGCCTTCTTTGCCCTGCCATTGGTCACATCCTCTACCGTAGTGTATTCCGGTGATGGCAACCGTTTCTGGTCATGCCATTTCCGCTGTCTATCATGAGCTCGCTTAAGCGTATCTCGTACTTCTTGCCAGACACCTTCCCAGTTCTTTACCAATAGTTCGCTACTGGGATGAACACCTTGTTGGTCCGAGACCGCACCTGACCAGTTGGTCCATGGGTTAAAGCCATAGTTGATCTCAAACAGGGACAACTTAGTGGACTCGGAGGGGGATGTATTGTACGCATACTCCGCTAAAGGTAGTAGCGATGCCCAATCATCCTGTTGATACGAACAATGATTCCGTAAATATTGTTCCAAGGTCTGGTTCACCCTCTCAGTCTTCCCATCAGTCTCAGGGTGGAAAGTGGTCGATAACCTTAGTTTCAATTGTAACTGTTGCATCAGGCTCATCCAAAACTTGGATATGAACCGACTATCTCGGTCAGAGATAGTAGACTCTGGGAGCCCATGGAGCCGCCAAACTTCCTTCAGAAATATCAGAGCCATATCCTTTATCGGAATCTCTGTGGCCAAAGGTATAAAGTGTGCCATCTTTGAGAATCTATCGACGATTACCCAAATTTTGGTATACCCTTCTGATTCTGGTAGTGCTATTATGAAGTCCATTGAGATGTCCATCCATGGTCTCAAGGGTACTCCCACAGGGTCTAACAGGCCAAACTTCTTATCCTTAACGGAGTTATTCCGTTGACAGGTCTCACATGTACCAACATACTCCGTAATGCTCTCATCCATCTTAGGCCAAAAGAAGTTAGCCCTAACTCTGCCTACCATTTTGTATGTCCCAAAGTGTCCCGCGATACGGGAGTCATGTGCGGCTTCCATGATCTTATCCTTCAGATCTTGTGAGTTGGGAACGTACCACCTGTTCTTGTATAAGAGTAGATCTCTTCTTACAACAAGGTCCTTCGACAGCAAGGCATCACTTTCTATTGTCAGATTGTGGTCGACACCTTTGTCTCCCGCTAACACAGTCTTTAAGTCCCTCATATAGCTGGGATCCTGTTTCGCAGCAGTGCGTAACGCATCCAAGAATGCATTCTGTACCCGGTAGCCTTGACAGGCAGCCAACGAATGAGGACGTAAGAGGTCTCGCTCTTGCCCAATAACCCATTGTCCGGGACGAAAAAACGGCTTTGGTGTGTCTGACAGATAATTACTCCCCCCTTCAGGGCGGTGGTCTCCACGCCTTGACAGTGCATCGGCCTTTGTATTTAGCCTTCCTTCACGGTAAACAACCTTGAAATTGAAGGGCTGCAGGAATTCTGCCGAGCGATGTTGACGGCGGTTGAGGGTCTTTGTACTATTAAAGTACTCCAAATTCTTGTGATCGGTATAAACAGCGATCTCACCCACTACCGACCTAAACAGATGTTCCCATTCCTTGAACACTGCCACTATGGCAGTCATCTCTTTGTCATGTACAGTATAATTGATCTCCGCTGGGTGGAACTTCCTACTATGAAAGGCCACCGGGTGCCACTTCTCATGTTCACAGAACTCAGAGAGTACGGCACCTAATGCAAAGTCACTCACATCTGTCTCAAACTTAGTCTGGTCCACAGGATCGAAGTGTGCTAAAATTGGCCCCGAGGTGAAGGGTGTCTTTAAATCATTGAAAGCTTTTTCACAAGCAGGGGTCCAATCAAACCGGACATCCTTCTTAGTGAGGTCCGTCAAAGGTTTCGCTATCTTGCGAAACCCTTCTATGAACCTTCTATAGAAGTTGGCGAAGCCCATAAAGCTTTGGACTCCGACGACGCTAGTTGGTGGTTTCCAATCCAAGATGGTATCCACCTTCTTGGTTGTCATAGATATCCCCTTTCAGGATATCCTATAACCTAGGAACTCAACTTCGCTTTTATGAAAGAACGACTTCTTTATGTTAACACATAGTCGATGCTTCCTTAACCTTTCGATTACTCGCCCGACCACAGAGACATGTTCCACTATACTCTCTGAGTAAATGAGGATATCGTCCATGTAGGCGACGACTCCTTCACCGCGCATATCTCGAAATATGTCGTTTATCATACTCTGGAACGTGGCAGGGGCGTTACATAACCCAAAGGGCATCACCAGAAAGTGGGGTAGTCCTTCTTCGCTGCGGAAAGCTGTGAGTTCCTCATGCAACTGAGTATCACCCTTAGCCTTTTTGGCCATTTGGATTCCCCAATACCCATTGCTCAGGTCCATCAAGCTATATACCGTGTCTTTTGAGAGCCTGCCTCGCAATTCATTCATCAACGGGAGAGGATATCTACTCTTCACCGTGAGCTTGTTTCGTTCACGATAGTCTTTTACTAGTCTTAGCGTACCATCTGGTTGTAACGACCCTACGTTATAGAGCTATGGCAACCTAAGTCTACGCCCATACATAAGACCTAGAGGTTATATGGTAGACTAGGCGGGCATGTCTGAGCATGTCCGGGAGATACTCGATGGTCCGGGTATCCCGAAGGACAGAAGGTACTTGAGAAATAGGTGTATCTAAGTAGTGGAAGTAACCTGACCCCATCGGCTTCGTCCTAAGGATAGGTCGGAAGGCCGGGTGAGTTTACCCTGTCAAGGGAAGTCACGTTACCCTACCATGGGGACCAGTTTCGTGTCACCATGGACACACTTACCCTACCTTTGGGACACTATTACCCTACCTTCCGTCGGAAACGTTCTCGGAAAGATTCCGTGTAATGTTAGGATTGTTTGTTACGCAATGATGATAGACGGGCACTTGTTCGCACATTGATCGGAAGACTACGGGAGGAGCTAGAGTGCTCCGAACATGCTGTAACTTGGCAGGATAATTCCTAACAGGTACCCGCGGCCCCAGGGTTCGCCCCGGGCGTCATGGGCCTAAATAGGTAGAGTTGCTGTATTACCAGTTAAATGGAATCAATGAAGACATGTCCATAACACTGTATATGTCGCTGCCGTCCGTCCGACCGGAAGCTGTTCGCAGGATATATAAGGGGGCAAGGTGAGAAGGTCAGGTACCTTCTCCAAAAAGGACGGGGTAAAACGGACCATAACTGACGGAGTTAGCGTATGCTATCCGGAAGGGTCCCTCAAGCAGTCGCGGGTAGTGCCGGAGACATCGAGGAAGGTTTTACGCCAATCAAGCCTACACGTGCCCCTTTGCCGTAGGCTCTTCATGGGTTGTTGGAAGACTCTAATAGCATGATACTTATCACGCTGAGTGGTGCGCCAGAGGTAAGGGACCATGGGTAGCGACCATGGGTCCCGCCACCGACACAGCTCTACGTGGGAGCGTCGTACACCCCGTAAGTTCGCAATCAAGAAAGATAGAACTTAACCGGAGAACACCTGATGTCTAAGGGTGCTTGCATAGATCATAGCACATGGGAAGAGAGTCATTTAGTTAGGCTTCCTAGGAGTCTCGACAGTTAGCCACTGGCGAGACACCGATGCGCAGAGTTTTCGCTCCGGCAGGTGTATTGGTAAACGCCTCGCAGGAACTGATGTGCATATGGGAGATTTCTGCTAGAGTGCGCTGACACCTAAGCTCTTCGGGGATGCGGTAATGGTGCCAGCAACCCTTACAGAGAGGGGCATGCTCATGTTGGTCGGGGCAACCTGACGGGGGAGTTTTTGGTATAAGTCTGACTACTTGAAGCTTATACGAGAACTCTCCTGCCCCGACACAATCAACATCCTCTCGAGAGACTTTAATTGAGATAAGCCTGAGCTTAACAATATTAAGTTTTACCGTTACTTTTATTCTTTACAATTTTGCAACAGCCTTTGTTCGAGAGATTCGAAGTTTGGTGGGGTCGCATCCTTGGGATCCATCTTCCTGAGGGAGCCCCCGTGACACTGGTTTTGGCACAAAAAGTATGGGCGCCGAGGACCAGGAAGTAGATCTTTTTATCTTCCCAGTACGTAACATTTCACTTATGAATTCACGGAGCGCTGTCCGTTCTTTCACCGATATCGGATAGATCGGTCCAAAAGGAGGAGTACTTCGCGGAATTAGATCAATTCTATGATCATACTTCGTATGTTCCGGTAATGCGTCTATCCTCTCTTGACTAAAGATGTCTCCAAAGTCCTTATACTCTGGTAGAAGTCGGACTGTGACATCGTCACCTTGGTCATCCGAGAACTGTACTGTCCCTAAAAAATATACATTTTCGGGATCCTCTGCCAACAGTTCTTCATCGGTCATGTAAACTAACCACCTCTGCTTTGTCACGCAATTGGCCTTACAAACATCTGAGCGCCAGGTCAGTGATCCTACTTTCCAATCGATGTCTGGGTTGTGGTCCTTCAACCACGACATAGGTAAGTAGCCATCGACATGAGTGTCGGCTATCTCTGCTACCTCAAAGCGCATACCATTCACATGATCGCCTATCTTTAAATCCAATGACTTGGTATAATGTAGCCCTGATCCTGGTATGTGGTTACCGCTTGCATCCATTATTGGAGTATGAATCCTTTGTCGCACACAAGGAGCTTGTGTATGTTTGACCCATTTGCTACTTAGCATGGGTCCAGTAGCTCCACTGTCTAACAGTAATACCGCTTCAGCACTTACTTGCCTACACCCTATACGCCAATCTAGTGTTACTCGTAGGTGAATAGATTTGCTATGCTTGGGTGGGCTAGAGTGCCGCGCCTTCTTACTTTGTCTCTTGGTACTCATTCTTGCTAGTCCCTTGCCTTTCGATACAAGAGTGGCCACAATGGGTCGGTAAACGTTTTCAAGAATAATATGATCAATAAGTGGGAATTGGAGTGCTGTCTACTATCACGCCAGCATGATTTCGGGTACTAAACCCTCCTCAGGTAAACTTGAAAGATAACTTTTATTCAAGACTAATAACCTAAGACCAATTCCAAAGTACAAGACAAACGACCCATATAAGACAAAAAATTTGCATTTGCTCTCCGCAGACGTCCGGTCAACCGGTGCCAAATAGGGCATCTTTGTGCCCCATCCGAATGTCCCGGGGTTCCCATTTTCCAGAGCGACCCCTCGGAGCAGAATACTCAATCAAAGCAAAACCTGAAAGTAATTTCCGCGAAGTTGTCCAACATGAATTTAACATAAATTACCCTTTAAGAAATAACCAAACCCAAGAACGAAAAAAGGAAACCAATCACCGCGCGTGACCCTAACATCTACCTAATGAAGTAGTCTTCCGACCTTCCTATGTCAAAGACTTCGTTAGCACTAAGGAGCTGGTCATCGCGGATAGGTTCCTACCTTGAATCCGGCCTACTTGAGCTACCATTTACTTCCTTAAGATCCTCATAGATCTAGAAAGTTAGTCAAAGTCATTTCGTCATAGGATTAGGTTCTTACCTAGTTCGTCACCCATGTCAACCTCCATAATAGTAGGTGAGGGTTTGCGGGCTTCCAAAAGTTTGGGGCCAGATGGCGGCGGCCGAGACGCTTCAATGCGCTTAAGTCGCTTGTTGCCACTAGTAGAGGATTCCGCTTTTGGTCGTGAGCCGTTCACTCCTGCGGTATTCCTCACAGCATGTACGACAGGGGAGGTAACCAAACACTGTCTCCAGAAGTGTCCTTCTCTCCCACACTTAGTGCATTGTTTATTGTTGCGTCGTTTCTCAGTCAGGGTCTGAGGGATGTCTCGATGAGCAATAGCATACTCAGACGTCCCTGCCTGCTTACCGGTGCCAACATTAGCGGTGTTCCGCGTCTTGTTGTCCTTCCAACCCGAACCTTTCTCTTTCTTCTTAAACCTTCCCGAAGGTTAGGAAGTCTCCTTCTCTCGTCTTTCTCGTGGCTTCGCGGGTTTATCCTCGTTAAGATGTCCAAAGCGTTTGTCATCTTCGAGATTGTGACCAACTTGGCGAAGCAAGTCTAGGTAGTCGTTGAGCTTTTCGTGGTGTGGCGTCATCAACGCCCAAGATTTCCGAAGCTCAGAGGATATCCCAGCCCGAACCGTATCCTTAACCTGTTGGGGGTCCGTGTAGTCCAGCTTGTACATCAGATCGATAACGTTATCCAGGTAAGGACTGCTCTGGTGTGGGGTCATCACCAAGTTATTCCAGGCGAGAAGATTCTTATCCCGATTCATGTTGTCACCTCCGTGACTCTGCTCTAACCGTTCCCGGAAACCTTTCCAAGTTCAGAGCGGACCATTCCTGTTGAACGGCATACCCGCTCGCTTAGCCGCTTCATAGTTGATGTGAGCATGTATCCCAAGGTACCAGTTGTGGGCTTGGTCTTCGAGAAGAGGTATGACCAAGTTGATCTTATCCATGTCCGTCAGACGGCAATCGGAAACGTACTCAAACTTGACTTCGACCAAGGTCAGAAAACTAGCCAGATTGGCAACCACTCCCTTGAAGGTGGGAATGCCGCTTAGCTTCTCTGGCTTCCTGCGGCTGGACTGTGCCGAGGAACGAGGTTGGTTTTGCAACCGCTCTCAGAGTGCATCTGCCCGACGGTCATATCGGTGTTTCTTCTCATCATTCCAACCAGTACGACGTGGTCCCAAAAAGGGTGTGACATCAGGTAGGGAATCGGCATCATCATCAGAGCTGTCATCAGGGTCGGAATCACCCGGATCCCCTCCGCCAGCCCCAAAGAATCCTCCGCCGGGAGGCAGGTTACCACCGCCGCTGCCCCTAGCGTTTCCGCCAGAGGATTCCCTTGGTCTCTCATAACCATCAAAACGCTCCCCTTGACCACCACGATTCCCGTCATCCGGCGGTCCACCTCCCGACGGTACTTGTGGCGGCACTGAGCCTGGTGGCTGGTTACTCCCTGACGGTATCGGGTTTGACGCAGCCTGCGACACCTTTAACCATTCGGCAAACGCCGGACAGGTCTCTGGGTGTGTTGGAGGTCCTTTATGACCTTTGTACATGCAATATCCACACCTAGGTTCTCGGCTCTCCTGTTCCTTTCCCTTGTCTTGTCTGACTGCCGCCGGAGGACTATCTGGTACCTCGAGTAGAGGGGGGTAACAAAATCGGTCATGTCTTGCCCCGTATCCACGACAGGTGGGGGTACAGTAAGGTCCTTGTGTGACCGGCGGTGGCCCGAAGCCCGAAAAGCCAGCATTGCCAGAAGGTTTAACCGGTGCCGTTGGCACTTGGATCGGTAGCCGGCGGGGTTGGCTAGGGGTAGCCGCGACAGGGACGGGGGTGCCTTGCGAGGCGGTAGGGGGACGAGGGGGTCTGTTCGAGGTCCTTTCCAGTATATTCAATGTCTTTTCAATTCGATCAGTGAGCCCCGGAGACCCTTGTCTCATGGCTGACCAAGGAGCTGAGATTGGTACTGGTGCAGGAGTAGCTGCAGGAGTGGGATTATGCTCAAAAAACTCTGAAGGAAGATGAGCTGGCTTGTTACTCCCAAACATAGAGGGCTGGGGAGGGTGGGGCGACTGAGTGACAGGTGACGGCACCGGCGTCACTGAAATCGAAGGAGAAGGTTCTCGTATGGGTCTTGATGGCTGTGGCGAAACTCTTCGTGACGCGTGTGGGCGCGAAGTCCCGATAGGACTTACCGAATGGCTTCGAGCTATGGAAGCCGAGAGGGAACGAGAGGAGGCGCGGGCGAATGAATTTGCTGCCTCGGATCCTGGATCCTTTAGGCTCTCCACAATTCGTAGACCTAACTGGCTCAACTGAGGCCGATACCTCTCGTTTCTCGCATAGAGAGTCAGTTGCTGAGTGAAGTCCTCAGGTTTCTCTTTGATCAGTTTCACCGCAGGGACAGCCTCAATCATCAGGACATCATTGTCCTCATCTATCTTATACCCCTCTGCTGCTGCCTTCTCCAACGCTGCCATTCGTATCGTCATTGTTTCTGTGTTCCTTAACAGGACCAAAAACACCTCCTGTTGCCTCTTCATCCATCCAACCGACGAATCTATGATCTGTTTCCGGAACACCTTCTGTGTTTTCTTATTCCAATTATGTAGTTCCCCTTTGGCACTTGTGATCCCCTGCATCACTTCCCGTAGGATATAGGGCTCAACGAAATCGCGCAAAAATTGCGCGACGGTCAATTCTTCGGCTTCGGGGTGGTCCTTGAGGACACCTTGTACCAAGGGGATGTCATTGGTAAACGATAGTGTGGCGATGCCGGGGTCCGGTAGAACCAGATCTCGACACTCATTGGGGAGTTCGATGGGAGCAGCCTCGCTCAGCAGGTTAGCTGCCTCCCCAAGTCCTCGTGTGTCTGCGATGATAGAAGCTCGGAAGATGGCAGCTTCCAGGGGATTCTCGTTGAGATCCAAGCTGCTGTCCGAACTCGACGTTCCTTCCTCGACCGTGGGTGGCAAAGCTTGAGAAGCCATCGTGGTCTATTAACGTCGGTTCCAACCAAAAGATCAGGAGGAGAGTTAAGTGAGAAGCTCGCATAACGATATACTGTAACAGGGGCTCCCTCAGGAAGATGGATCCCCAGGATGTGACCGTACCAAACTTCGAATCTCTCGAACAAAAGCTCTTGCAAAATTGTAAAGAATAAAAGTAACGGTAAAACTTAATATCGCTAAGCTCAGGCTTATCTCCATTAAGGTCTCTCGAGAGGATGTTGATTGTGTTAGGGTAGGAGAGTTCTCGTATAATCTTTAAGTAGTCAGACTTATACCAAAAACTCACCCATCAGGTTACCCCGACCAACATGAGTATGCCCTTCTTCGTAAGGGTTACTCCTGCACCATTACCATATCCCCGAAGGGCCTAAGGTGTCAGCGCACTCTAGTCGAAATCTCCCATATGCACATCAGTCCTGCGAGGTGTTTACCAATACAGCTGCAGAAGGGAAAACCTCTGCACATCAGTGCCTCGTCAGTGGATAACTGTCGAGCCATGTGGGAAAGCTAACTAAATGACTCTCGACCCATGAGCCATGATCGATGCAAGCACCCGTAGACATCAGGTGTTCTCCGGTTAAGTTCTATCTTTCTTGATTGCGAACTTACGGGGTCTACGACGCTCCCACATAGAGCAGTGTCGGTGCCGGGCCCCGTGGGCACTACCCATGGTCCCTTAACTCCGGCACACCACTCAGCGTGATAAGTATCATGCTATTAGTGTCTTCCAACAACCCATAAAGAGCCTACGGCAAAG